ATAGCTGATATTGCCGTCAGGCATTCTGCGACATTGCGGCAGAAGGATTCCTCGGGATTCATCAGGTCATTAGGAACTTTTTAATAATCAAGTTAATTATGCCGTCGGGCATTCAAAGAAATTTTCGGGCGTCAGCTGGACTTCGTCAGTAAGTCGGGAATAGAATCCTCGGTCAATCATGAACCAAATATGGATATCCAAACTTCTGCCATCAGGCACTGTGCATCAGCTGAGAGAACTGATTCGACATCACAGTTGGACTTCATCAGTAAGTCTTCAAATGGAATCCTTAATTAATCACGGACCGATAAGGACATACATTCTTTTGCCGTCAGGCACTCCGCGTCAGCTGGGAGAACTGCTTTGACATCACAGTTGGACTTCATCAGTAAGTTTTCAAATTGAATCCTTAATCAATCACGGACCGATAAGGACATACATTCTTTTGCCGTCAGGCACTCCGCGTCAGCTGGGAGAACTGCTTTGACATCTCCGTTAGACTTCATCAGTAAGTCAGGGGTTTTGGCACCGCTGCCGGACTTCAATCATCAAGTCTTCAAGGAAATTTCAACTTCCCTGTTGAAAACATGTTGGGGATGACACATCTCCGCTGGGGATTCTGGAGAACTATCAAGTAACTCTGCTTCAGGGATCCAGAGATCATTCTGGATGAATCCACTCTGCTGAGGACTTCAAGAATCATCTTGGACAAACAACTCCGTCGGGGACTTCAAGAATCACCCTGAACCAACAACTCTGTTGGAGATTTCAGGAATCATCCTGAGCAAACACTCTGCTGGAGATTCCTAGCATCAACTTGAGCAATCAACTCTGATGACTTCACTGGGGATTTCAAGAATCATCTTGAGTAAACAACTTCGTTGGGGAATTCAAGAATCATCTTGAGCAAACCATTATGCAGAGGAACACCTGCAAAACAAGAACGGTAACAACCTAGCTCATGTTTCATATGTATATGTTTGACAATGGCGCAATGCTCCACACGGTGGAAATGCTACACGTTTTTAGGGTAAATGTTATGCAATCATGTAAAAATGCTATGACCCCATCAGCAAAATAAATGCTGAAGGGAGAATCCTCCTGTCAAGGAGAAAGAACCACTCTGGTGGAGGAAGGACTCGTCCTGCCGAGGAGAAGAAGTCACACCAATCTCAATTGGATTCCGCCTGGGGAAACGAACTTCAGACGACTGCTGCAGGGGAACAGAGTTCTACGAGAACCTGACCTGCTCAACTAGGTATACGAACCACAACTGCTGAGGAAAACGATGTCAATCGCAGAAATAAACTGCACGGCCTTCGCGGCTAAAACTTTCTTGGAGATAACGACTCCGATGGGGAACTACAGCATCCGCTATTCAGTACTCTACTGGGGAAAACCAATCATGGCCTGAACGGCTTCCAAGGACTCGGCTCTCTTGAGGGACTGCAAACTCGGCTGAGGATGGTAACCGGACGCTGGAATCACTCCTACCTGCCGGGGAGAGTACAACTCTGTGGGGAATTTCAATTCCGCTGGAGACTTTAGTCTGAACTATCGGAAGTTGAAATCTCGCGAATAGTTTTCTACGGGAAAACTGCACATTGGCTCAGTGCTGGGGATGAGTATACATTTTAGCGTATGACTCATCTGGGGAGACGATGATCCTTCCTAGGATGCATCCGGTTAGGGGGAATCATCTCTGCTTGGGGAGACATATCAATGCTTACAGTCCCACGTTCTGACTCCGTTGGGTGACACTGCTGAACTCGCTGGGGAGGAAGGAATCATCCTGCTTGGAAAACATCTGGCATACTGCCTGGAATGTGCCATACCTGCACCAACATGAACAAACAGACAAGATACCCTTCACAAAGGGACCTATCAAGGTTATCATCCTGCGACAATGTTCAGGTAATTCAATGTTTCAACAATTATCGGCCTAGGCCAGTAAGTTTATGTATGCACATTTTATTAAAAACATCGGGCGTTCTTTTTCGCAAACAAAACAGATAAAAGCTAAACAAACAAACAGAATTGCTGAATAGTATATGTTTTATTGATAACGAGCCCCTGAATGGGCAAAAATATTTTACAACCGATGCAAGCTCCTGAAATGAGGAAGCTGCGCAAGCATAATAACATAAATATACATCCGTATATACAAATGTCGGCAATATGGCGTAGACGAACACCATGAGTTGATCCCTCTATGACCCACTCGACTTCGATACTTCTCCGACGCTTCAGCTTTAAAAGAGATTGATTCAGATAAACGGCCCTCAGGTCTGCCAAACCACTAAACAATGAGAGTTAATACGCGGAACGCAGTCATTTGCTTTTCAAATCCCTAACTTTTGCCTGAACCGCCCTTTCGGGTTTTCGATTCACCGGGATACCCTTTTTTGCCAAAGCCGCCCTTCCAGGTTTTCGACTTTGCGGGTGTACATTCTTTCATTTATATCCCTAATTTTTGCCCGGACCATTTTTTTTTTCCTTTTTTATGGTTCGCCGGGATGCCCCATTTTTGCCTAGACATTCTTTTTTCTTTCCAGTGGGTCGTTTTTTAAGCAAAGTATTTTTTAACTGCGTCCGCGTTCACAGGGGATGCAAAATCTTCGCCATCCATCGTGGATAACAACAAGGCTCCTCCCGAGAAGACCTTGCTGACGACGTACGGACCTTCGTAACTGGGAGTCCACTTGCCCCTGTGATCGGAGTGTGGCAGAAGAATCTTCTTCAGGACGAGATCACCCGTCTGAAAGCTTCTAGGACACACCTTCTTATCATAAGCTTTCTTCATTCGGCTCTGGTACAAACGACCATATGCAATCAATGCTAATCTCTTCTCGTCCATTAGGCTGAGTTGGTTCAGTCGGTTCTTAATCCATTCTGCCTCATCGAGTTTCACGTCAACCAAAACTCGCAAAGAAGGAATCTCAACTTCCAACGGTAGGACAGCCTCCATACCATACACTAGTGAGAAAGGAGTTGCCCCGGTTGATGTGCGTACCGTCGTACGATAACCGTACAATGCAAATGGCAACATCTCGTGCCAATCTTTATAGGTCACAACCATCTTTTGGACTATCTTCTTAATGTTTTTATTGGCCGCTTCAACCGCGACATTCATCTTCGGCCGGTAAGGTGATGAGTTGTGATGTTTAATCTTGAAGCTCTGGCATAACTCCTTCATCATCTTGTTATTCAGATTCGAACCATTATCAGTAATGATCCGCTTGGGAATTCCGTATCGACAGATGATGTCCTTCTTTATGAATCTAGCTACCACCTGCTTGGTCACGTTGGCATACGAGGCTGCCTCCACCCATTTGGTGAAGTAATCGACGGCTACCAAAATAAAGCAATGACCGTTAGACACAGTGGGCTCGATCTTGCCTATCATATCAATGCCCCACATGGAGAACGACCATGGGGATGACATGACACTCAATGGGCACGACGGCACATGAATTTTATTATCATAAATCTGGCATTTATGACATCTCTTCGCGAATTTAAAGCAATCCGACTCCATCGTCAGCCAGTAATATCCTGCTCTCAGGATCTTTCTCGTCATAGCATGCTCGCCGGCGTGCGTACCAAATGTGCCTTCATGGACTTCTTCCATGAGCATACTCGCTTCTTTCTCATCTACACATCTAAGTAGCACGAGATCATGATTTCTTTTATACAGAACTCCATCAGGATTGAGATAGAAATTTCTAGACAGCCTCCTCAGAGTCTTCGTATCCTGGGTTGACGCTCCCGCAGGATACTCCTTAGTCATAAGGAAGGTCTGGATATCATGGAACCATGGCTTGCCATCGGAGGCTTCCTCGATTGCAAAAACGAATGCAGGTATGTCAAGACGAGAAAGGACAATTCTTGGAGCTTCATTCCAAAAATTGACTTTATGCATCGAAGCCAACGTGGCTAAGGCATCAGCCATCTGATTTTCAGCTTTGGGCACATGATGGAGTTCCACTCGATCGAAAAACGGAAGTAGCCTTCTGGCATAATTCATGTACGGGACCAAATTCGATTGACGAGTCTCCCACTCCCCTTTAATTTGGTTAACCACAAGTGCCGAGTCACCGTACACATCTAGGTTTTTTATTCTCAAATCAATCGCTTCTTCCAACCCCATGATGCATGCTTCGTATTCTGCTTCATTATTGGTGACCGAAAACGTCAATCTAGCAGTGAACGGGATGTGGGATCCATGGGGATTCATAATGATTGCCCCAATGCCACTTCCGTAAGAATTAGTCGCCCCGTCAAATATCAATTTCCATTGGGATTTCCTGTCTGGACCCTCGTCGGGCAACGGTTCATCACAATCTTTCACTTTGAGAAACATGATATCCTCATCAGGGAATTCAAATCTCATCGGCTGATAATCTTCAATAGGCTGTTCGGCAAGGTACTCAGACAATACGCTTCCCTTGATGGCCTTCTGGGAAACGTACTGAATGTCATATTCCGTCAACACCATTTGCCATCTGGCAATCCTACCCGAAAGCGCTTGCTTCTCGAAGACGTACTTGATCGGATCCATCTTCGAAATTAGCATGGTTGTGCGAGTGAGCATATATTGTCGTAAATGTTTGGCAGCCCACGCGAGTGCGTAACACGTTTTCTCCAGCATTGAGTAACGGGACTCACAATCTGTGAACTTTTTACTCAAGTAATAAATGACATGCTCCTTTCTGCCAGTCTCGTCGTGCTGGCCGAGAACACACCCCATACTATTCTCAAGAACGGTCAAGTACATGATTAAGGGTCTTCCGGCCACTGGGGGTATCAAGATTAGAGGTTCCTGTAGATACTGTTTTATAATTTACACTTGTACACACATGGTTGACCGTGTCTTTGTATTGCTGCTATATAGACTAGTATATATACTTGTGAACTTGCACATTAATCTTTTTAAAATCTGACTTCAATTTAATTCAATTTTGTTACATATACACATCAAAGGTACTTTATATAAACAATTAATCTTGTTTACATGAAGAGTACGCAAAATTCTCAAACCTTTCGTCATCGCTGTTGACTTCAACATCCGAATCATCTGCATCAACACTGCATGGAACAATGTGGTCTTCGAAATCTCTTTTTGTTCCTGGTAAGATAAAGACACATCAAATTAATAGACTGGATATAAATACTTTGTGACTTCTTTCTTTATCCCTTTTTACAGCTTATTCTTGGTGGTAACTGGAAGACCATGTCAATGAGCAAAGTAATGAAATAAGTGAATCCATACTAAAAAGTAGTAGGAAAAATACCTTCAAGAAATAGATGATTACCCTTTCCATGATCTTTGTCATCTGCAAGATCATAGAATAGAGTCGGTTAAGCATTTACAATTGGCAACAAAAATGAAAACTCATCTCACCAAAAAATGGAATTCAAATGCTACAAGCAGAACCTTGCAAGACAATAGACATTGATAGTTCTTAGATTTTACCATTATAAAACTTGTTTTTTGATGAGAAGTGTCTCATTTCACGTTCATCCAGTTCATCGCGTAGGTTTCTTCTCTTCAATTCATCTTGTGTATCCTGACCGTCTTTCCTAGAAAATTTTAAACATAAATTATTACAGCATGTAGAAAGAGCCTCGTGGAATCTTAATAATCATTTAAAAGAGAAAAGCTTTCATGTTTCACTAATGAAACTTTGTAAAGAAACTATTTCAAAACACATATTTCAAATGTTACAAAATTTGAAGTGCACACAGATGTTGTTCATGTAGTTCAGTTGCAGATTTCCCTCAAAGAGCAATTGAGCACTCAAGAGTTCAGGTTTTCAAACAAAAGCAAGATATTAAAACGAATTCAAATTCTCCACAGTCGCATATTCCATCAAAAATATCATTACAGCAACTTCATGAATCAACTAAATGGGATAATCTATGTGAAACTGCAACACCTATCAATATTATCGATTCCTAAAACAATTAAAAGGCTAGAACGAACAATTTCCATAACAAAAAAACTATGAATTTTGACAACGAATGATTGATCCAGTAACAAATTTGTGAGCCACAGAAATTACAAACAGTAATTAGACCTAAGGATTTAATAAACAACCTAATCAACCGAAACTCATTAATATTATGTAAATTCAACATCAAAAAAAAATTGGGGGAAAAAACCCTACCTGGGTTTGAGAGTGGTGTGTGAGGCTATGTCTCTTGAGGAGTACTTCTGGGAATGACCGAAAATTCGAGTACCGCCTTGTTCATTTCCACCTTTAGCAGGTGCCCAAGTTGGTCTGGCCGCGGTGGTCATCGGATCGAGGTGAGAACGAAGGCTTGACGGAGACGAAGAAAGAGATCGAGGTTGGGAATAAGGGTTTCGTGAAGAAAGAGATCGAGGTTGGGAACAAGGGTTTGGAGAAGAAAGAGAAAATGAATTAAAGATGAAAGGGATATTGTTTATATATATATATATATATATATATATATATATATATATATATATATATATATATATATATATATATATATATATATATATATATATATATATATATATATATATATATATATAACCAATATTTTTAAAAAAAGATTTATTAAAATTGATTAGTCTGCTAACAATTTTTTTTTCATGTTGTAACGAATTTTTACTTATTTATTTTGATTGAAATTTATTATTTATTTATTATCCACACAATTTTTTAATTAAAATTTAATCTACTAATGAACAGGTACTAACAATAATACGTTATTTATCCTACCGCCTATGTTAAATTCAATTCCTAATTTTATAATAAAAATAAATAAATCTTAAAAAAAAAATATTCATATTCGAAATCTTGAGTTATTTAATATTTTTTGTTGCGGATCTTAATTTTTAATTTAATTTGATTCTTTAATTTTAAAAAAATTATATTAATCTTTGAATTTTTCAATTAGTCTTTTTTAACAATAAAAAAATTAAAAAATTAATTGTTAAATTTGTCTTTGATTAAATAAAAAGAAATAACATAAGATTTTTAAAATTAAAGAATTAAAATAAACCCTAAAATATAAAACTATAACAAATATTAAAAATAAATAAAAATTCAATCATACTATTAATCTCACCGTTTATCTTAAATTCAGTTTTCAATTTTTAATTAGTGACACTATAAAACTCTATCAATTAAATGAATTAATTTTTCAAATATTAAAAAAAAAACTATTTTCTATCATTTTAAAAGCCCAAAATCAACATTTCAAAGCCATAACCGCCTTTTTTTTTATATACTTATATTCCTAATTATCTTTTATTACTTATACTTGTTAAATCAATAACAAATATATTGTTACACTAACTAAGTTCTAAAAAAACTAATAAGATTTAAAAAATTTCAAATATTAAGATTGAAACTATTAAATACTAATGTTGATTGCATATTATAGGTCTTTTTTTATTTTGAATATTTTATTTTTATATTTGATAATTTTCTGTGATATTTCAACTATCTACCAATGACATTTTTATTGTATTACATTAATGACATTTATTTTGTGATAATTTTTATTAATATTTTATTTAATGTATCTCCTTAATTGCTTTCTATTTCAATATAATAATAATAATAATAATAATAATAATAATAATAATAATAATAATAATAATAATAATAATAATAATAATAATAATAATAATAATAATAATAATAATAATAATAGTAATAATAAACATTCAAAACATATTTTTACTTTTTATAATTTTATTTAATGTGTCCCTCACCATTATACCTACTCTTTTCCTACTTATTTTTTTTATAATTAAATTATTAATTAATTAAATAAATATTTCCTAATTATTAACTTCCTAAATTTAAAAAAAAAAATTAAATAGTTAATAACTAATTAAAAAATTTTCTCAAAATTTCACCAATTATATTTATTAAGTTGCCACATAATTGATAAGTTCTTATTTTTACTATTGACATTTTTACCATAAGTTCTTATTTTTATGATTGACACAACATATTCTTCAAATTAATTAATTAATTAAAAATTTTAATATTCTTTGCATTAGAGCGTCTTTAATACAAGTTTTTAATAGTTAAATTTTTTATAGTTAAGGATGATTTATAAGAATTTACATTGGAATGACTATGACATGACATTTAATTCACTAACTTTTAGTTTTCGGCAATTATATAGTTAACGTATTTTATTTATTTTAAAACATATTGTTGAGAATTGTGGTTGGGCCTAACTCAACCCTACAAAACCGGTTGGTAGAGTGAGGATTGCCCCCACTTATAAACACATGTTCATGTCATATATTGTCCGATATGGGACTCTTAACACATATAATATTATTATTTATATTATTAAGAAACAACTATCATTAATGGTAACTTCAATAAAAAAAATAATTACAATTAAAAAATATAAAATACATGATTAAGTTTTAGTTTTTTATAAGCAACTATCATTAAAGTAAAAATAACTCAAATCAACTATAAATTTTTTAAATCCTACAAATTACTTTGGACCCACAAAAAATATCTTAGTTTACTCAGTTAAAATAATCCCACTAAAAATACTTTATAGGTTATTAATGAAGCCAAGTTTTCAACCGCTTTACTCTCGTGAAGAAGTAATGTTGATGGTTTCCTAAGTAACAATAAAACCATGTTTTTAATTTTCAATTTTTTTCAAATATTATTATATTTAAAAACAGTTTCTTCCACACTTGCAGTATTTTTATTTATTTTATTATTTTTATATTTTTATATCTCTCAAAAAATAGTATGAACAATCTCCCCAATACTTCAATTTAATTTTCATTAATACTAACATTCAGATGGGCATTTGTGTGCTAGTCTGTCTATTATTTTAATGCACACATGTAAAAATATAAATATATATTTTTATTTAATTTTAATTTAAATGAAAATTATGTAGAAAATTATTAATAAATATTTTGTGAAAGATAATAGTAATTGTTCAACAAAAATTATTGTGTAATTAATAGTATAAAAATTTAAACCGTCAAATAAGCTACATTTGTTAGAAGGAAAAGTTAAAATTTACAATAAAAACTGAAAATGATACATTTAAAATAAAAAAAATTATATCGAAATCATGTTTTTCCTTTATATATAAAAGTGATAGATTAATTGGATTTTCATTGATAAGATTCAATGAGACATTTATATGTTTAAATGTTTTTATGTATATAATTAGTTATATATTTATAAATTATTGTCAATAATTTGTGAGAATTTGTTTAAATTTGTTGTGAACGAGAATTATGATTTTTTTTAGGATTCATTATAGATTGTTAGTTAATTAGTTACTGAAATTGTGGAAATATTTTTAACATTATAGAAAATAATTTTGAAAACTCACTATTTTATATATATATATATATATATATATATATATATATATATATATATATATATATATATATATATATATATATATATATATATATATATATATATATATATATATATATATATATATATATATATATATATATATATATATATATATATATATATATATATATATATATATATATATATATATATATATATATATATATATATATATATATATATATATATATATATATATATATATATATATATATATATAATTACTTTAGAAGTGTCATTTCTATAATAAAAAAATTAAAGCACCGCCTCATTGTTATATTGACTACAAATTGCATTTAGAAATTTAGGTCATCATTTTAAAAAAAACCGATAATTTATTTCTTTCACGTTCTCTATGATTCAATTATTATTATTATATTTTACATTTTTAACTAATTTCAATTTTTTTAGATATTATATTTTATATTAAAATGTCCACTTCTACCAATAAATCAAAAGAAGCTACAACAAAATTAGATCTTGCAAAATTTATTATAAAAAAATAGACTTTTAAAATTTTCTATTAATGAATATATCATCATATCTTTGGATGGTTCACCCGTTATATCGATGCAAGGTGATTATTATAATTATTTCACGTAATTAAATTAATTTTGTTTAATGAAAGGTGTTTTTTTTTCTGATTAAGTGTTAGGGATTGGTGATGGAACAAATGGACAACAAAGTGATGACTATATAACACTTGAAATTCTAGATGGCTTATTCATTAAAAGTTCAACTGATTCAACTTCATCTATTATTCATCTAAGTCTATTAATTGAATATTTAAGACTTTTGTGGGAGGAAGGCGTTGAAGCTGATGATCCATATTCTGGTGAAAAGTTTAAAATGCGTGCAATGCAATTTTGCACAATCAATGACTTTTCTGCATATGGTAACTTGGTTGGATATAGTGTCAAAGGACACAAAGCATTTCATATTTGTGAATCTAATACCTATTATCCCCAACTTGAGTTTGAAAAAAAGACCGTGTAGCTTGAGCATCAAAAATTTCTAAAACCCGGTCACTCTTATCGTAGATTGCAGAAGGCTTTTAATAGAGAGCATGAGTTTGATATCGCTTGTAAACCTTTAACCAGGGATGAAGTTGAAGGTGGGCAAAACACTTAGAATGAGGATTGAATAAGGGTTTAGAAAATAATATGGCAATAAAAACAACACAATATTTTTATCCTGGTTCGTTGAACTCAACTAATTCAGTCCACCTTATCAAAGATGATTTGCCTTTCTCCACAAGGACTTAATCCACTATATTCAAACAGATTACAATGTTAACCACTAAGAACAACTGTCTTAGTCTTCTCAAGAAATCCTGACCACAACTTAGTCTTCTCAAGGAACCTTTTACAATAAAATGTAAGCTAACAAGTGTTTTATGATGCTTCTAAAAAGTTGTATCACAATTGTGATTTACACTTAAGATTAAGAACGAATTAAACTGTTCGACAAAGAAATAAGATTTGTATGAGATTTTATGAATAATTGTCAAGTAATTCGTCAACTATAGAATGTTTTTGAAGGTTGCGTTTATAGTCCAAGAAGTCCGAGACGTTGCAAGCTTGAAGACCGTGTACTGCAAAGTAGTTGTGGCCTTTTTGTCTTCTAATGACTCTAGCTTTCCTAGAATAGGAATGTTCAGATAAATCCTATTTGCCTGAGTTCCTGTGTCTATCATAAAAGAGGAAAGAGTCATTTGGAATATGCCAACGGATATATCTTTGAATAATATCTTCTTAAACAAGCTTTTATCTCACAGTTATCAACATCAGAGCCTTGAGTGATCAGAGTTTTGCTAGATCAGAGTGTAGTAGCTATTGTGATTCAGTGTGAATATTACTCAGAGCAGAGTTTGGAGATTAGATCCTCTGTACTT